GACGATATGCGGGACACTTGGTTACATTCGCGAGGAATAACTTCCTTATTAACGTATTTGCCAAAATTATTATCGCATTTGTCGCTTATTATATTTTCTATGGGTTTCCTAAAGCTTGTATCGATACAAGAATTTTTGTTATTCTCAATATTTTCATTCGGGCACGTTGCATTAACTATATTAGAAATATCTTTCTTATCCATAGAATAAGATCCGAAAATAGATTCTCTAATATTAGCGATGCTTGATTTGTTTCCTCCTATATTCTCGTTTACTTCGTCATAATTACAAATTTCTAGTTCTGTTCGCGTACAGAACTCTTTTTTCTCTACGTTCACCGCTGCGTTTGTACATTTTGATGATTCCGATTTTATTTGTAATTCGAACTTTTCTTGTATAATCGAATTTTCGACGAATATATGTGACGACTGTTCATTTTCTACGTAATTTAATGTATCATTGATAGAAGAAGTATCGGTACCCTTTGTAATCTCTTTAAAAATCGTCTCATTTTTATCATTATTTTGCGCTGTAATTAATTCGTCGCATTTAACATCAGAATTAATAACCATCTTCTTCGTGTAATCAGATCTATGCACTGTTTTATTGAAACAAACATTATCTATTTTTTCATTACTCGAGAGATTCTGATTGTTTCGTTCGAGTCCATCGTTTATTTCTGATAACGTTATCCTTTCAGTTATTTCATTGTTAATTACATTAAAGTTAGAATGATTAGAATGAACAGCATTATCTTTGGAATCATATTCGGTACATATCGTCGTATTATTTATACCTGGGCATTCTGTTTCTAGATCACAGACTTTTTTAAAACTTTCAACCCTTTCGCGTGTTTCAGGCTCTGAGAAAATGTCCGTTTCTATCAATCGCTTGATCACAGTTTGTTTATTAAATCTATCATTCTCCTTTTCGTCACTGCGTATATTCGAATTATCTCCATTATTTATATTATTACCATTAACAACGGTATGTGAAACGTTTGATACGTACTTTGTTAGTGGGAGTATCTCAGTTAAAACTGGTTTACTGTTTATTGTAGACGCTTTTATATTTATTTCTTTAGTATTGACTTCTGCATCAATCGATTTTCTTATGTTTTCTGTACAAGCTATCGACTCTTTGTCAATTTCCATTTTATTTTCATCGTTTCTAACGACAACTGTCCGACATGCATTCGATTCATTTTTTGCACTGATATTTTCGGTGGCACGTACCAATTGGAATGCATCTTCCGGCTGATGATCGACACTCCTCGAAATACCTTCTTGTGTTTTCTTCTTTATTTTAATCTTCTGTGATGCTTTTACTATCTTCAAGTCGATACTTTTCTTCGCTTCCTCCAACCATGGTAATTTTCTGCATTTTCTTTTCTTTATACACTTCTCGAGCACTATATCACTAGTTAAATCGATAATTACAATTTCATTGGACTTTCTACATTTCTTCCGCGAACGATTTTTATTTGATTTAATTATTTTAGGGTTAACATGCTTCGTAGAAATATTATTCGAAAAAGTATCTAAACATTTAAAACTAGTTTGCTCTTCCAAATTTAGAGGTTTAAAAGTTTTTAGCAAAGAAATAGATTCATTCTGCTTATTTTTATCTGATATAATTGAATTCACGTTATTATCTACATATTCTACATCTTTATTAACGATATCTTCGAGCTGAGCATGTGAATGAACATATAAATTATTAATTTTGTTACAACAGAACTATACTATCTTTATGTATGTGTTAGTTAAAATTTCTATATAATATTAATATCCTACTTTTATCACTTACATAAAGATAACCTTTCTAATATTGTTATATTTTAAAAACTAATAGATATAAATAATTTTTTTGGAACTTTGAAAGTAATAATGTCTTGTAGAATTATAAAATGTGGTCATTAAAAATAATAAATATGTATAAAAATAAGAAAGTAGTATATAAATAGATACCATTTTTGAATTAATTCTATTGGACGAATCAATGGGAGTTGCAGGTCCATCCTTTTGGCATACACTTCCATTACTTTCTCTGCAGTATTGAACAAATATTTCACAATGCTTTTTTATATCAAATTTATGTTGCAGCAGAGCTTTTGTAGAATTTGGTTGACTCTTTGGCACTTTTGGCAATACATCTTCTAATATACTCTGTGAGAATGTAGGTGGCAGTGGCCCCAGAGATGCAATTGCAGCAGCTGTTATTTGATTCTTTACAGCCACATTTTCAGTTATTTTTCTCCACAAATGATAAATGAGAAAGTAACGAATATACATAATACTTGATTCTGGATGTATGGGAATATTTTTTATTACTTTCCTGAAGGAGAAAATATCAGAAAGTAGAATGGCATCATATGAATTTTCATTTCTTAAAATTTTTTAAATTAAATGATATGAAAATTTAAGAAACAAAAAATAATTTGTTGTATTAGTATTACAATAATTGTATCTACTTAAATATAAGAAAGATTATTGCAAATTGAAAAATATTTACTCTTACAAATAATAAAACTAATTTTATATTTTA